TTTATTGTTTAATAGCATGCTATTTAGCCATCATGTGTTTGAGTGATTTTGAGTGTTTTTATTAAAGTAGATTTCTAGTTTCATGCCATTGTTATCTGAGAAGATGCTTGGTATGATTTCAGTTTTCTCAAATTTGTTAAGATTTATTTTGTGTTCTAACATGTGATCTTTCTTTGAGAATGTCCCATGTGTGCTTGAGGAAAATGTATATTCTTCTGCTTTGGGGTGAAATAGTAATATCAATTAAATCCACCTGACCCAGAGTGTCGTTTAAGGTCACTGTTTCCTTGTTGATTTTTTGTCTGGGACATCTACCCATTGATGACAGTGGGGTGTTAAAAGTCCCCTACTATGACTCTGTATTGCTGCAAATCTCTTCCATAAAGTCCACCGAAAGTTTTTTTAATATATTTAAGTGCTCCCATATTGACTACATGTATGTTTACAAGGTTTATGTCCTCTTGTTGGATTGATCCCTTTAGTATTATGTAGTGGCCTTTTTTGTCTCTGTTATGGCCTTTATTTGAAGCCTTTTTTATCAGAGTATTGCTACTCCAGCTTTTTTTTTTTTTTTTTCCAGCTGTGTATGTAGATGTAGCTCATGAGAAAAGGGTAATGTTTCCAACTCCCTGCCCTTGGCTATGTCACTAGCTTTCTGGGGGAGTGCCTGGAGTCAGTGCTGGAGAAAACCACACCATGTGCTTCTCTTGGAGGTGGTCCTCTGGTCAGCCCAGAGGGGCTCCTGGAGGGGCTCAGGGGTCTGGGGAGGCAGAGGGAGCCTGGAGGGAGAGGCAGTTCCTGGCCCGAGCTGTGTGCTGAGGTGGCTGGTACTGGGCTCTTTGAGGACTGAGGCAAAATGGAATGTTCTTTTGCAGGTGATTTCTCCTGGGATAAAACACAAACCAGACACTTGTCAGAGAGGCTCCGGTACCTGTTCGGCAACATTTCCCAGCTCACTGGAAAAGGCAGTCTGGGTCTGTATGGTGACGAGGCTTAAGGATGGCTGGGGTTGGGGATCCTCAGGTGACAGATATATCTGAGGTCAGCACAGCCACTCATTGCTGAGATGGGGGCAGTGGGTCTGAGACACAGAGAGGGGCAAGGCAAGCTGCCTGCATAGACTGCCTTGACCCCTGGGGATGGAGTGGTACCAGGAGGGACAGAAACCAGGAAGCGGGGAGGCCAGGTCTGCACTCTAGCTGAAGGATGGAGACCCACACCCTGCCAAACCAGGCCCTGCCTGGAGGGAACCCCAGGCTGAGGAGGGACTGTAGCCCCCTCAGAGATGGCTCGGGAAGGACAAATAACTCAGGCAGAGTCACAGAGAAAACCCTTGGAGAGCACAGTGCATACAGAGGGCATTAGTGCCCAGGAGAGACCAAGAGGGGGGCTCAGGGCTTTCCCCAGGGTGAGTGGCAAGAGGGGGATGCTTCTTGGAGCAGGGGCCTGGGCAGACCTAATTGGTAGTCAAGGGCATGTGGCCTCTGACTTCTGCTAGTTGTGGGCAGGTTCTGTGCAAAGCATCCAGCTTCTCTGTGCAGGTATAGACTCTGCATTGGGATGAGTGGGGGCAAGATGGGGATGTGGAGGAGAGAAGAGGGTGCCTGCCACTGAAGGCCTTCTCCTAGGCTCCTCCACCAGCACCAGGCACACACAGCCCAGAACGGCACGCACTGCCCAGGGGCTAATGTGGCAATGATGGGGCAATGTGTGCTGAGTGACATCCCCCTCCCGGCGTTCCCCCCACAGATGTCTCCACCATGGTCTCTCGTAAGGAGTGGGGGGCGGGAGCTGTCGGCTGCAGCACCCCGCTGACTATGCCAGTGGACTTCCTTGTCATGCACCATGTTCCTGGGCTGGAGTGTGACAGTCAGCCTGCCTGCAGTCAGCGGCTGCGTGAGCTGCGGGCCTATCACATGCACAACAACAGCTGGTGTGACTTGGCCTACAAGTAAGCAATGGGGCTAGAGGCACAGGGTCAGAGCTGCTCCTTGGAACGCTCTTCCCCCCCTTCTCATCTGATTTCCTGACTTTCTGGGTTGAGGTTATATCGGGTTTATAATAAATAACATATTTTCAAAACCCTATAAAATTCCAAATCCTTTGGATTTTTCTGAGGCCCTTGACTCTGAGATCCCCTAAAAGGAAGCAGAGATGGTTAAGTTCTAGCTATACTTTCTAACCCCCTCCGAGCAGGTTATGAATGACTCCACGCACTGGAGTGGGTTTCCTCCTGACAGTGGGTGAGGCTGGCTTCCCATGCTGAGGGTGCAGGGACCAAGACAAGGAGGTTGTTTGATTTTCTCAAAGCCACACAGCTGTGTGAGAGTTCTGGAGCCCAAACTGGCTCAAAACTATCTCTACCCATTGTGTGTCCCACTACACCACACACACGGGGCTTCCACCTGGTGAGGCAGCTGTTCGTCTCTTTTCCCATTGGCCACTCTAGCAGACCCTCTTGGTGGTCAAGGGCATGTGGCCTCTGACTTCTGCTAGCTGTGGGCAGGTTCTGTGCACCGGAATGGTTTCCTGCCTCGGTGCCCACTGCCTCTCTCTCTTTTCTGCTCCAGGCTCTCACCCAAGTCCTGCGTGGTAATAAGGGGAGCAATGCCCTCCTGGGGGGGCAGGAGTGGTGGATCATTCCCTCAGCCCCCAGCCTTTCTGAGGGGCAATTCTAAGCGGCATGGACATGGTTCCTTGTAAGGTCCTATGATGGGGGTGGAGGGGACTGAGCCCCCGGTGGCCAGTGTGAAGCCAGCCCAACTCCCCCACTTCCTCAGTTCCTTCCTTCTGCCTCCCTCGCTCCCTCGCTCTGGCTTCTGGGGTTGCTTCCCGAAGAGACAGCCTGCATCGCGTCCTTGTCAGAGGTGCTGCTTCCCCGGAGGTCTTTGCAAGGCAGAGCCCTGGTGGGCAGCCTGCATGGAGAACACACAGAAAGCATACATTTTGGAGGAAGGAGGAAAGGAAACGTTTAAGGAAATGTGGGGGCTGAGAAGAGCCCTGACATTGTGCGGTTGGGTCTGTGCTAACGCCAGGCCTTTTCTCCTTCCGAGTCTGAGAAAGCGCAGGCCTCTGAACGAGGAGCGGCTGGGGAGTGTGGGAATGGTCCCTCTTACTACTGAGGATGAGTATAAACGACGGCCAGCCGCGGCCTGGGACGCGTCCCTGCCCGTTTCCTCTAGTGGCCGTGGCTCGAGCCCTTCTCCTTTGGAGGCTCTGTAGGTGGCTCCTC